CTTTCACTCCAGAGTCTGCGATCTCTTTGAAGATCTAGTAAAAAAACAAGGTGAGTGAATGAATGAAGGAGACGACAAAAATGTACGCACTTTTTCCAGATGTTCTTCCTCTCCACGGGTAAAGTTCAGCATCTCATCCTTGTTCTTAATCAGAACGGTTCCTTTCGTTTCCGTCTGTGCAATGTCGAGGGCGGAAGTGAAGACAGCAACTTTGGCTTTGGTGACCTTTTTGACAGTTCCTAGACGGTTGTTAGCAAGGTGCAAAGTCCGTCATAAATATGAATCTGGCTATTACCTTCCGGCTCTCGTCCAAACACCATTCCCAATACAACTTTACTGGCGTTCAAACTTCCTCCCATGATTTTCACGACCCGAACGTTGTCCACGTTGAAATTTTTGGGATTCGGGGGCATGACAGCCAGTGCAGCCTCGGCAACAAGTGACGAGAGAGTATCTTCATAGCCATATTGTTTCGATGCTATGGAAGGCTTGAGTGCTGTAGCGAGGGATGAATGTGTGAGTGGTGAAGGAAGAGAATATGTCGAAAGTTCTGAAAAAAAAGAAAGGAAGAAAAAAAGCGGGTCAGCGGTGGGTTTCAAGGTTCGATAGAGACATCGACGCACTCTCGAGCTCCTCCAGGGCTTTCGTACACGCCAGCTCGTATCCTTTGATGATTTCACTCGGATGTAAACCCATGATCAGAAGTTGTTCTGACTTTTTGAGCAGTTCACCAGCCAGGATGATGACCATGTTCGTCGCGTCTCCCATCTGAGAGATGACATCTAAAGGTCATTGAAGGCGCAAGGGCCTATCGAGAGGGAACCATACCTCAGATTCCTGAGCTTGCGACGCCATGACGAGCAATTTTGCAGCGGGATGTACGACTTCAACTTCACGAATGATTGTTGCAGCATCGCTGGTCACAAATAACCGTCCAAGGTGATTGATAAGAAGTTTGTTCCGACCTAATCGAAGATTCCAGGGGTTTTAGATAAATTCGAAACAGAAAGATCGAGAAAAGACGCGCCATTGGGCCCAAAACTTGTTCTGACCAGATCAGATAGCTCATTCACAGCTTGGATGTTCCGTAGGACCGCCTCTTCGAGGCCTTGAAGATGCTTAAGGCCTGAGGTCAGATGCTGAGCCTACGACCACGCGAATAAGAGCTTACCTTGTACCCCTCCTTAAAGAGTTGAAGATTGTTCGCCTTGGGTACTTTGAGGGACATGATTTTTGGAAGGAAAGGACTGGCGCTGCTGAATTTATTCCCACGCACTCATATTTCCTTTACCATCACTCCGACTCGCGAGGGTACAGTCAAAGCCTTTGCAGGGGCTCAAATTTCCTTCCCTTCTTTCTATGATTTCTTGAGGACCATTCTCCTATTCGAATTGAAGACCTCCTCACCCTATAATGGTTCTTGCTATCCTTGCCACCGCCGCTAATAACTATTTCCCAACCCAATACACCACCCACATTGTCCTCGGCCTCCTGGCAACCTACACACTCTACATCGTCTTCCAAGGCCGCAAGACAAGTCGTGAACGTACTCTCCATGGTCGGGTCGTGCTCATTACGGGGGCATTCACCCCGGTTGGGATCACCCTTCTACAACAATTGGCCGAGCGAGGGGCACACATAATCGCGCTGACGCCATATCCCGTTGCTTTTGAAAACGTCAGCTCTCTCATTGAGGTGCTGCGCTCTACGACAAAGAACGAGCTCATATACGCCGAACAATGTGATCTGAACTCTCCAGCATCTATTCAGGCGTTTTGCAAAAGGTTTCTACAAGGAGAAGACAAGAGATTGGACGCTCTCATATTTGCGCACGAATACGAGACCCTTGGCTCGTTCAGATTCGTTACGAAGGAGACAGCAGGCGTGCAGGATGAAAGAGATAGAAGGTCTCTAGCGACGTTCCTCCTGACAACACTTTTACTCCCCTCTCTATTGGCAGCCCCTTCCGAGCGCGATATTCGTATCGTGAATGTAGTGAATCGTTTCTACGCCGCTGCAGTCCCAGATCCTGTATTCTTCTATTCCAACCTCTTCCCCTCTTTTGCGCCGACGGCACCGGAGAAACCCAAGAAGTCGGCATCGTTATTCTTCGAGGAAGGACGACGAGCTTTGCAGACCATTATCCTTACGCGTCACCTACAGCGTGTTCTTGATGCACTTCCGTCTGCTCAGGTGCCCCAAGCGTCAGCGGGATCCACGTCCGTCCCTGTGGTCAGCGCAAAGAACCAAAGGTCGAATATCGTCGCAATGAGCGTGTCGCCTGGTGTGAGCAGGTCAGATACGATAGGAAGGATGTTAACAATTGGCTCAGAGGCGCCGACATCATGGCTTGGAGTACTTCTGTACGTGTCACTGCTTCATTTCACGTACCGTCATTGACCCGTTTGGCACTCTAGGTACACGCTTTTCTATCCTCTCCTCCGAATTTTCACGAAAGGTCCAACATTTGCCATACAATCGATACTTCACGTACTCTTCCTTCCGACTCCCTTCAAGCTCATCATCAATTCGGAACCGACTGAATCTCAAGAGCAGAAGGATACGACAAAAGATTCTCCCAGCAACAAACGGGTGGCGAGGAACCCGCAGGAGGTTCTCAAGCCAGGGGCTCTTTACGCCGAATGTGCCACCGTGGTCGGGTTGAGGCTTCCTCCTCCCCACCTGATAGTAAAACCGAGTGAAGAAGAAGATAAGAAGGGGAAGGGGAAACAGAAAGCCGAAGCGACTACTGACGAACCAGCCCCGCGTCTTCCGGACGATAATGAGTTTGGAGGGGAAAGGGCAGGTACCTTGGTTTGGGAAGCGTACGAAGCCGCGCTTCGGGTATGGCAAAAATCAAGTCCAACATTGGAGGAATATGAGAGGGAAATGAAAGAGCACGCGTCTAAAGCTAAAACGGAAACGGAAGAATCTAATCTCGAAACGGTAGCAGAAGGAACGGAGGAATGAATGGGATAGGGACAATTAGACTTGGTACTCATGTATGTGGAGGGCTGTTACGTTGGTGCTTTGCGGAAATTAGCATGGTTTACCTTGCTTTCTGACCTCACTAACCCTTAGGCTGGCCCCTTTGGGTACCGCTGCGTATCTCTGATATGATATGATATGATATTCATCTAACTCTCCCTGGCCCCGTCCCTCCATGGACAACTCCAGCCGACTCATCCGAATCACCGCGGTCCGTTCGTCCGTATAGCCGGTCTTCCCTGGCAAACAAAGATTCGAGAGGCCTGCCAGAGCAACGATCATCACAACACTGCAAACAACAATGCCGACAAGCCCCGCTTCCCTCAACGGACAGGTACCTGTTGTAGACATATTTAAAAAGCTATTCATCAAGGATAAAGGTTTCATCCCATCCCACTCAATTTCCCCCCATCTTTCCCCATACCATGTCTGGCAAAAAGACTAGCATTGTCATCGTAGGAGGAGGCGTAGCAGGCATTAACATTGCTCGGCCGCTCTCCAAGTCCCTTGACCCAGCTCGCTATGAGCTTACCGTTATTAACCCTCGTCCATACTCGATAATCTTACCTCCCTCTCTTCGTATGGTCGCTTCGGGGAAGAACAACCTCAAAGAGAACATCCTTGTGCCCTACGATAAATTGTTCGTCAATGGGAACGGCAAGTTCGTTCAGGGAGAGGTTGTTGCGATCGACGCGAGTGCTAGGGAGCTGCAGTTGAAGAACGGGGAGAAGGTCGGGTATGATGTGCTCGTTCTTGCTAGTGGAAACAAGTGGGAGGGTCCCCTTGCATTCCCGCATGAGGCAAAGGAAGTCGACGCGTTCATTGACCAGAGGAGGAAGGAATTTGCAGATGCGAAGAGCGTATTGTTGGTCGGTGGTGGCGCTGTCGGAATCGGTATGTCTTCCAGCTCTCACTAGTTTTTGGGACCCATTACTAACCATCTGTGTGCGATAGAACTTTCTGGGGAGATACGAGATGTCTGGCCCGTTCGTTACTCCCTTTCAATCTGCTCAAAGAGTGCCACTGACGCCCCTTTACAGGACAAAGAAATCACCATCATTCACCGCGACAAACTCCTTTTGAACGACGCATACCCCACCAAAGTACGAAAAGGCATCCACAAACAGCTCGAAGCTCGCAACATCAACGTTGTCCTCGAGAACTCCGTCCCCGAAGACTTGGCTGCCGGCGTGTCCAACGGTGTTCCAGTTCCCACAAAGAACGGTCAAACTTTCCGACCTGACCTCATCATCCGAACATGGGGAGGCCGACCCAACACTGAAGTCGTCGGTTCTTCCCTGGGCATGAACGCAGTCACTGCTCGTGGCCATATCAAAGTCAAGCCGACTCTCCAACTCGTCGATCATCCTAATATCTTCGCGGCTGGAGACATCATCGACTGGGATGAACAGAAGACGAGTGCGAAGGCTTCGATGGGCCATGCGCCCGTTGTCGTGAAGAACATTGTCAGCTTCGTCAATGGCAAGACACCCAAGGCAGAATACAAAGGGTCGTTTGAGATCCTTGCTCTTACGAATGGAAAGGTGCGTCCCTTTCTCTTGACGTCTCTTCGTACGAGGTGCTCAGACCTTCGCAACAGGACTCCGGCCTTGTTTACCTCGGCATTCTGTGGGGAATCACTCTCGGACCGTTCTTCGCTAAATTGATGAAGTCGAAGAATCTCATGGTTCCTATGTTACGCAGTCCACTGGGTTACTAGACGCGAGTCTAGGTTCATTCACTACTACTATTACTACTATCACGCGATAATTTATAGCAGTGACGACCCTACCCCCATATACCATATTATGAGTTTACTTTTACTTTTACTATGACTTTACTTTACTTGTTGGAATAGACCTTGGGATTATTTTTTTTGGAACAAAAGCGCGGCTCTACCTCAAGTCGAAATTCGGTTACGAAGTTGGACCCACAAGCATATACATCCCGGTTCTATGAGTTTCGAAGTGATGCGGCCATTCGAGGCCTATCAACGCCGTCGCTTTGGGCACGGGCAAATAGCGTAGGGGTTATCGCGTTCGCTTTGCATGTCCCTGTTGGGCTTGAAGAAAATTTGCTGCGAAAGGTCTCCGGTTCAAATCCGGATTTGTCCACTAAGAATCATCCTGGCGATTTCCAAGATCTCTTTTCCTTTCTTTTTTGTCCAACAAGGTAGTGAAAGGGTACTTCAACTTGCTCTTAGGATGAAGGGACGATTTACAATCTTGACCAACAATCGAATCATTACGCAGATGAGCGCGCTTCGTATGTATTGTCCAAAAAAAGGTAGTATGTAGACGATTCTCGTAGGATTCACGTCCGATTGGTAGAAAAAAATCCCAAAAATCGAAGCCATCCGCTTTTGAATCCACAACCGCAGGGATAATATGTAGTGGGGGGGAGTAGTATGTGCTTATAATAATAAGTAGCAACGTTTAACACAAAAAAATAAAGCAGGGGGTGTGGGTATAATATAGTTCGTGCACGGATGAGGGACTGGATAATGTAAGGAACGTGGGATGGGTAGGAATACAAGTGTCAATTGCAGGATATAAGTCCAGATGCGTAGGCATGGAAGTCGAATAGTCGAAGCAAGAAAAGAGCGAATGGTGGACGACTGAATGCGAAGGATAGCGAAACGATAGCGTGGTTTCAAAGAGCGTGCCCAATACCTCCTGGGCCTCCCTCGTCAGACCCTTTCAAACTCGAGAAATCACCCCTTTTAGGAGACCTTTCCAACCAATTACCACCGTGAGCTATTGGGGGCGGTGGTGTCATTGAGAGGCGATGTGAACGTGCTGGGGATGGCGGACGATTGGGTGATCTCGCTGGTATTGGAGGAGGGGGTGAAAATGACGAGGGCGGTGGCGGTGGCGTAGGCGTTGTCGCGGTAGTCGCCGTGTTTACAGCCAACGGACTGGACTTTTTGACGGGCGATGTTCCTGCAGGAAGGCCTAACAGGCTCGTCGGACCAGCTGTAGTCGCGGCAGAAGCCGTTGACGAGGCTGTAGCGTCCCTCGAGTGGGAGCTATAGAAGGAGCTAGAGGAAGTTGCGGCGAAAGGGTCGTTGTAAAGTGAACCTGAACTAGGGCTGGACGCGTGAGTCTTTGGCGGAGCAGCTCCTGGAGGGAGACTATGGAACGCTGCACTATGGATGTTTTTGGGTGATGGTGAGCTTGTTCTACTGGCGGATGCAGTTGCTGCCCCAGCTGCTGCTCCACCAGCCACTGCAGCGGTGGTATTGGGCGAAGTGGGGGAAGGGCCCATCACGTCATCGACAATGTTCGAAAAATCAATATTCCCACTCCTGGTCAGTAAAGGGTCCACGAATTTACTAGCGGGACTGGTATTCTCAGACAAATCTTCGTGGAATATACTTCCCGAGTCAGATGCACGAGCGCGAAAGAGGGAAGGTGTGGTGGCAGTGGTTTTGGTAGTATTGACAGACGTCGTTGATGTATTGGCCAGGGCCATAGGTGCTGCTGCGGATGCCGCGGTGGTAGTAGCACCTCCTGGGATGCCAGCGATTGGTGATGAATGTGGATTCATGGGAGTCATGGGTAAAGGTGTGGCGCCTCTACTGCCCGTCATACTGGGTGTAGGTGTATGCCCAAAGTGAACACCTGAACCTGGCCTTGAATGACCTGGAGTATCATTGGGATTATCGCGATACCTCCTTGTCATCTGCAAGTCGTCATCGTCGTCGAATTCTCCATCAAGTAGACCAACACTTCCAGCACCTCGACCTTCGCGGGCTCGTTGGATGATTGATCGTAAGAAATTGGATTCTCGATTCTGGTGTCTCTTGTAAACAAAGAGAGAGGCGAGGAGGAGGAGAAGGACGACGACGCCGGCTACGGTTGATCCTGCTATTATAGCTGTTCGATTAGCATCTGTGGAACTGTTGGAATTGGACGGATTCCACAACGACGGAAGTGCGGATACGACCTGGGCAGGTGTTAGCATTTGTGCGATTTGATAAAGGACGGGAAGGCGTACAGTTTGAGTTTGGCCATTTGTCGTGATTACGAAAGTAGTAAACGATGTCGTATGCTCCTGTGAGCTGGTTGTCGATGTCGGAGTCCCTGTTGTGGATTGGGAAGTCGTCGAGGTTGTAGATTCTGACGTTGTCGAAGTTGGAGTTGTGCTCGTCTGGCCTGTATTCGAGCTCGTGCTGGTATTCGACGTGGTAGTTGAAGTTGAAGTACTGGTCGAAGTTGTAGATGTGCTCGTTGTTGAGGTGGAGGTTGAAGTGGAGGTTGAGGTGGAGGTGGTGCTGGTGGAGGTACTTGTGGAAGTTGTTGAAGTTGTTGATGTTGTCGATGTCGTCGATGTCGTCGGCGTTGTCGAAGTGGTCGAGGTATCTGTGGGCGTAGTCTCAGTCCCAGTCCCAGTTTCTGTCCCCGTTCCGTTCCCAGTCTCCGTACCAGTGCCAGCACCAGTCCCAGTCCCAGTCCCAGTTCCCGTTGTTGGGCCTGTGTTGGTTGGGTCTCCTGTGGGTGTCGTATCTCCCTGTAAATAAATCAATATCTACTCAGATCAGAGAAAATAAAAAAGCCTACAGTGCCCGAAGACATGGTGGTCGTGTGGAAAGCCTTCGTGGAAACTGGAAAAGCCTCTCCTTGATACCGTACTCAATAATGACGGCTGTAGCACAGCCACTAGATTATCGGCTATTGGTCTCCGTCTCCGTAGCTACTGCTGACCAGGGACACTCAGGTACTAGCACTGTGCGGCGTGTGAGCCACAATCCAATGCTCGTCGACAGTAAGTACTACTGCTTGTGGGTGTTCGCGAACCCCTCCCAAACGTCACACCGTCGCACGAGACCCCAGTCCTGATCTATTTACAGCCCTGTTTAACCGATCTTCCAGTCGCTTCATGATCATATTCCCCTTCCCGAGGTAAGTAACAGCAACCTTCACCGCACTGCCCGACAAAATTTCAGGCTAAAAGAGTCCAAATTATGTACACAGGGTTGTCATGCTCCTAAGCCATCCGTCGAAGGCCGGGTTCGAAGGCTAGGGCGAACAAGAACACTAGACAGAGAAAGGACACATAATCTGTGGTCATGATAGGGATTACGACTTTTTGTAATTGACCAATCAGATGGCGTTGAGTGGGGATGGGACCAACCATACCAAGGACTTCGAATCTTGGACAGCGCCGCCGCTGAAGCAGGGCGATACACACCATCCGTCGAGATCGGTAAGTACCTCGCACACGGGCCATCATGATCATTCCACGTCGCGGATAGTTGGGCCGTCGCTAGGAATAAATATGCGGGCGCATGGAATGCAGGCGCTATGGGGACTTCCGACTCAAGGTGGTAGACGGTCCCGGTGCAAGAGTAGCTTCTAAACACGAAAGATGTCAATTTTATTCAAATGCCGGTACATGTAAGGAGAGTCACCACAGGGGGGTGGTTCATTGGGTGATCCTAAAACACATCAGTGGGCTGAAGTACGAGCACAAGGGGATGAAGAAATGAAAGTGCCTAGCATGCAAGTCAGCTCCGGAACTGTAACGACGCAACCACCCCATGGGCTATCACAGGTCGTTCACGAACAGATAAGCACAAAACACACACACCCGGATACGTTGATCAACCTTCTGGCATGGTCCATCTCCCCCTTTCCAGTTCACATTCCTCTTCCTCCATGACGGGTTGCACCGGAACATAGCGAATTCCATCCAAGGACCCCCGGTGGTCTTTTCTCGTCCCATCGACTATCTCCTGGAGGAGAGCGTGGCACCGCGGTGAGTCTTTGTGAGGTGAGAAGATCCGTAGGACTCAAAGACCTAGCCATCCGTGCGCAACGGGAAACAACAGGACAGCGGTGGATGGCACTCCTCGGAGAAGACGAAGCGTTCACCTTCCCTCACAATGACTCATAACGGGCCAGGGGGGAAAGGAGAGTCGGGTATGTGCATGCGGAGGTTTGGGTAAGTTGATCTCCGCCGACGGCTGCGCGAGAGGTTTTTGAGTGACGAAGATGGAGGGGAATTGACGGGTGACCGCACTATCCTGCATATGGGTTTGGAATATAGGGGAATCGGCTGCGTGTGGCTGGACCAGGAATAGGGTGATGGTCTCGAAGAAATGACTAGCGACAGGTGCGGAATGTGACGGGTCTGAGTGAAAGAGATGTAGTAGTTTAACGCGTTTTTCGTGGATTTCCCAGAAAAATGCTCCATAGCACTTTGATTGATTAGAGACGATTTGAACAAAATAATCCACTTGGGTTCAACTGCGGCGATCACTCCGCTGGCGTAGTCCTCCGGCGACAAGTTATCCTCTCGAAAGGCCATTGACGTCCCGAGTACCCGACTCGAATCGCATGCGCCACCAGAATGCGGAGTTGAAGTTGCGTAGGAGTTACCGCTCGGCCTGGGTTCGCGACGAGCTGGTGGAGGATCTTGTCCGCGTCTCGTTCCTGGTGAGCATACCTGGGGGGAGTCTGCGGGGAAGACTCGTATTGAGTCGTCGCGTTTTAGGCTCATCTTCCGCCACAAGTGTATCAACATTCCTCTCCAGACTCCAGATACAGGGCTTTATCGTTGGGCCCCGCTTCCTGGTCTCCAATTGCGACCAGTCTCCATGTTTCGTCGGCTTTCTCGCCTCCTGGGAGGAGAACATGCCTTCCCGTACAAAGTCCCTGTTTAGATACCCACAATAGAACTCTTGGTACTCTTCGGTGGCAGGTTTCCAAACGTCGTTTGAGAGGTGCCACCCGGGACGCAAAGTTTTCGAGTACAGAGTCTAACTTCGGACGCTGTCGTTCGAGTCCAATTGCAAGTCACACTGCCACCGTGCGGGACGCCAAAGCTAGTCCGGACCGACGTTTCGCGCTAAAGGTCCATAAGGAGAAAGATGCTTTATTAAATACCGATACAAAACCTTCGATACTAGTGTACCTACCTACAGATGCAATACAAAACCAATTATTCCTACCAGGTGTACTTACCTATAATACTTACTACTGATACATTGAATGCAGAATGTGAAAATGAGAACAGAACAGATGTCATGAAGATGCGAGCAATGAGCATGAGGAGAGGAAATCAAATGGCATGAACGTCCATAGCAGAGCGGAGATGAGGAGTAATGAGG